AACCTCCAGCTCTTGGGCTTAGGTGATTCTCTTGCCTCAGCCTCCCAAGTAGCTGGGACTACAGGCACCCGCCACAATCCCCAGCTATTTTTTGTTGCAGTTTAGCCAGGGGAGGGTTCAAACCCACCACCCTCAGTATATGGGGCCAGTGCCCTACTCACTGAGCCATAGGTGCTGCCTCAATCCCCTTTTTAAAGTTAAACATTTTTTGGCTGTGTGCTCATAGCTCAGTGAGCAGGGTGCAGGCCACATACACTGAAGCTGGCGTGTTCTAGCCCAGCCCAGACCTGCTAAACAATAATGACAACTGCAACTAAAAGATAGCCTGGCATTGTGGTGGGCACCTGTAGTCCCAGCTACTCGAGAGGCTGAGGCAAGAGAATCCCTTAAGCCCAAGAGTTTGAGGTTGCTGTGAGCTATGATGCCAAGGCACTCTACTGAGGATGACATAGTGAGACTCTGTCCCAAAAAACAAACAAACAAAAAAAAAGAAGTTAAACGTTTTTGTGGTCTTTTTTTCCCAGTGGACTGCCCCATAATTGACATGGTCTTGTTTGTTCTTTGACTGATTGTACAAATATTCATTGCCTTTTTTTTTCAGGTCAAATGGAATTTAAGCATTTAGCCTATTCAGTGAGTGCCTGTGGCTCAGTGGGTAGGGTGCCAGCCCCAAATACTGAGGGTGGTAGGTTCAAACCCAGCCCTGGCCAAACTGCAACAAAAAAGTAGCTGGGTGTTGTGGTGCACGCCTGCAGTCCCAGGTACTCGGGAGGCTGAGGCAAGAGAATCCCTTAAGCTCAAGAGTTTGAGGTTGCTGGCTCGGCGCCTGTGGCTCAAGTGGCTAAGGCGCCAGCCACATACATCTAAGGTGGTGGGTTCGAATCCAGCCCGGGCCTGTCAAACAACAATGACGGCTGCAACAAAAAATAGCCAGGTGTTGTGGCGGGTGCCTGTGGTCCCAGCTACTTGGGAGGCAGAGGCACGAGACTCGCTTGAGCCCAGGAGCTAGAGGTTGCTATGAACTGTGATACTGTGAGGCTATGGCACTCTACCCAGGGGGATAGCTTGAGGCTCTGTCTCAAAAAAAAAAAAAAAAAGAATTTGAGGTTTCTATGAGCTATGACGCCATGGCACTCTACCAAGGGCAATAAAGTAAGACTATATCTATAAAAAAAACAAAAAGCAAATAAACTGGTTCTTTGGGAGAGGAAAAAACTCTCCTGGTTTGTAGCACTTGCTGATTTCTGTGGTGTAAATACTCCCACTATGTCCAATCTGTGACAGCAGTGCGGTAGCCCGAAGGTGGAGTCGGGAGCAGAGGCTCACCGCACCCTGCACTGCCACCGCTGAGGCCGTCTTTTGTGGGCATGATGACTGTATCTCTGCTTCCTTTTTTTCTTTATACTGAAGGGTCTTTGAGAATAAAATGTACTGACAAGTATTCTAGGCCCTTTCGTGGAATAACTTGGTTAATTCTCACCTCAGTTTTGTGAGATGGGGGTGCTTATTGTCCCCATTTTATAGATGAGGAAACCAAGGCACGAGAGCTCATGAAACTGGCCTCAGGATCACACAGTAGTATCAGGACTTGATCATAAACCTTTTTTTTTTTTTTGTAGGTTTTGACTGGGGCTGGGTTTGAACCCACCACCTCTGGTATATGGGGCCGGTGCCCTACTCCTTTGAGCCATAGGCACCACCCTATAAACTTTTTTTTTTTTTTTTTTTTTGAGACAGAATCTCACTCTGTTGCCTAGGTTAGAGTGTAGTGGTGTCATTGTAACTCACTATAGCCTCAAGCTCCTGGGCTTAAGTGTAAATCTTTAAAAGAAAAAAAGGAACTGATTTGTGGCCAGACAGGTAATAGGGCATTTCAAATTTAAAATTTCTCTTAGCAACAATCTCTACCACAGAATGTTCTATTTTGAAGGGCTCTTTCATGGAACTCTGTGATCATATGGGCAACATTTATGTTTGAAATCTACCTTCTACCTGATGATTTTGCCAACCTGAAAAAGGAAATAAAGAAGCAGAACTTCAGGTTCCTTTCATTTGGCTGTTGGATAAAAGTGAAGATGTTGGTGATACTGTGCTTGACCTCCCAGGTGGCACATTGAGGATAGTTGTCCAGAGGTGAGAGGAGCACTTCTGCCCTATAAACACTCCGCATATCATCAGAGATGTTGTAAATCACCAAGCCAATTATTCTAAAGATGTTGTCAGTGGTGACCTGTGGGTAATCTAGGGAAGGGGAAATCCAGGCCTTCCCTGTCGGTAGTGGCCACCCAAGATTTTGTGGGCATTGGGTGGCACCTGTGACTCAAAGGAGTAGGGCACCGGCCCCATATGCCAGAGGTGGTGGGTTCAAACCCAGCCTCAGGCAAAAACTGCAAAAAAAAAAAAAAAACAACCCAAGATTTTGTGGGCATAATGACCTTATCTCTGCCTGGCTGTCTGTGGAGAATGAAGTCTCGCTGCTTTGATATGAGAAGTGTCTGAAAAAGAAGAATGCAGTGTTATCTGCATAAATGTCCTAAAATCAGTTTATACCAGTTATTTTGACAGTGAAATTAGCTGCAACTAAACCAGTGCCAGCGCAGTGAACTCTTAAAGGGTGCCACTGGTGTGACCACTTTTTAGTATTTCTTAGAATTCGTGCATAGCTAGCAGTAACATGGAAATATTCTTGTTATATAGGGATTTTTTATTTAATGCCATAGCAGAGAGTGTATTGATAGGAACTAGTGGGGCTGTGGCTAACTAAGTAAACCTAGTTTTACTTGAAGCACCAATAGTAATATAAGTAGAGGTTCTCAAATACCAGTACGTAAAGTTGGTTAGATGAGCAAAATAAGTGTAATGAGGTCAGTTTTTTTTTAATGATTTTTTTTTTAAGTATAGCATTTTCCTCACTCTTGAGAGTATGGTTTGTCTTTTCTTATTAAAAAGTTACTGTTTTTCTGGACTAGGCCAGGTGGCTCACACTTGTAATCCCAATAATCTGGGAGGACAAGGCTGGAGGATCCCTTGAACCCAGGAGTTTGAGACCACTCTAAGCAAGAATGAGACTCCATCTCTGCTAAAAATAGAAAAAGCTAGCCAGGCCTCATGACAGCTGCCTGTAGTCCCAGCTACTCAGGAGGCTGAGGCAGGAGGATCACTTGAGCCCAGGCGTTTGAGGTTGCTGTGAGCTTCCATGCAAGCACAGCACTCTAGCCTGGGCAAAAGAAGAAAATTTCTTTAAAAATAAACAAACAAAAAAGTAATTGTTTTCTGAAAGTAAGGTAAGTGTTGTCATGGCAGTTTCCTTTCTTTCACTTTCCTGTGTTTCCTTTTCTTTCTCTTTCTGCGCTGCCCATCTCCTTAGTTGACAGAGTTAAAAAATTGGCAACTCTCTGTTAGTTTTCTAAATTAAAAGAAAAAAAATTTGCCAGTCAGCAAAATCCAGTCTTAGAACACTGAGCCCAGTTAATCTTTACAAACATGTCTCTTAGGACTTGGTTTACGGAGTAGAAAGTAAATGGTCCTCAGTTGGAACACTGACCGTAGAAATGTCCTGGGTTCTCAGAAGCCCTTAAATGTCTATTCCTGTTTATAGGGTGACTGTCCTTACCAGACATTCTGTTTTATAATTATCTAGGGGTAAATAAGTTGATAGTAACTCAGTTTAGTCATTAATTCAGTTTATTGTTTTAAATTTCAATAGTTATGAATGAGTCATGTGATGATGGTTATTTAGGTTTAATTTTAGTTTTGTTGTATAGTATTTGTTCTGCATTTAAGTCCTCAGAGATCTTCGATGGAATACATAAAATGTATGACCTAACTCTACCATGAAGGAACTTGTCTGTGGGCTGGCACGAGGAGGGGGGGGTCCCCTGGGCCTGTGTTGGGTTTTTTGGTTTGTTTATTTTTTAGAGATACAGTTTCACTTTCTTGCCCTCCATAGAGTGCTATGGTGTCATAGCTCACAGCAACCTCAAACGCTTGGGCTCAAGCAAGATCCTCCTGCCTCAGACTCCTGGGTGAGCTGGGACTACAAGCATCTGTCACAACACCTGGCTATTTTTTTTTTTTTTTTGAGACAGAATCTCACGCTGTCACCCTGGGTAGAGTGCAATGGCATCACAGCTCACGGCAACCTCCCAACTCCTGGCTTAGGCAATTCTCTTGCTGCAGCCTCCCAAGTAGCTGGGATCACAGGCACCTGCCACAGTGCCTGGCTATTTTTAGAGACGGCGTCCTGCTCTGGCTCAGGCTCATCTTGAATTCCTGTGTTCAGGTGCTCCACCCACCACAACCTTCCAGAGTGCTAGGATTATAGGCATGAGTCACTGCACCCAGCCTTCTTTTTCTGAAAGGACTTTAAATAATTATTATTTCTGGTCCCCTAAAGTTTGTTACTACTACCCATAAATATCTATCCACACTCCTTGCAAGAGGAATAAAAAAGATCTGAGGACCCAGGAAGAAAACTGAGTGCGATGCCCTTGTGTACATGGAGTCCCCTGTGGTGAAAGTCAAGGTAGCTCCACCTCTGGGTTCTCACCTATGAGTGGTGCCCCCAGCATCACGTGCATATGCAGGCTGCAGGGGCTAACCCTTTTGTACAGGCTGGACGGTGAGGGGGAGAACACATGCAGAAAGATAAAAGTAGTTAAGTGCAGTTTGTATGGGTGAGGATGCGGTCCAGGAGACCAGAGAAGTGCTCCAGAGGGGGTTCCTGGAGGCACCTTGTAGAAAGCAGCCTGGTGACCTCTAGAGCCAGCAGAGGTTTTGAAGCTGAAATGAGAGGGTGTGAAGATGTAGCAGTGGAGACCAAGGTGAGGGAGGTAGCCGGATGGGGGTCTCCTGGAGTGACTACTACAGGCCTCACAGATGGACAAACCAGGGTACACGTGTCTGTGGTCAGTCTTTTATTTTTCTAAGCAAAAATGTTAGGTAAAATAAATCCTATCTACTATTACCATAATTTTATAAATAATGTTTCATGTAATGCTGAAAAGATTCATAATCTCAAAATAAAATTTTGATTTTATTAAAGATATAGTAGGCTTTATGTTTTCTTGTCAGAACAGTGAAAACTTGGCTGGTAACCAGCTTGGCCCACAGACTGACATGTGAGACTTGGGGTGAACAAACTGTCTAGACCAGGCAAAGACAGCAAGAGCTGAGAGAAGGCTTGGGGAGGCAGAGGAAGGGCAGGGTCCATAGTGGTTCCTCAGGTTGCTGTGGCAAGTGCCTAGCTGGTGTTCCTGTGAGGAAGGTGGCAGTGCTGAGGACAACTCTGGGGGTTATCAGCCAGGTGGGGAGAGAGACAGAGGAAGGGCCAAACAAAATGAACTGTCTGAAGTTTGTCTGTGAGGTTTTCAGAGGGAGATACCCAGTGTTCACCCAGGATGGAGGGACATTGCTGGTGCTGACATGTGGTAGACATCCAGGCATGTCAGCCTGGCAGAGCCAAGGAGTAAGCAAGAGCATCTCCTGTGTGCTGAGTGCTGTGGGGGCTGGTAGGTACAGTGTGGGAAGCAGGGTCAACCCAGCAGAGAACCTGGAGATGCAGAACTTAGAGTGTCAGAGCAGCTGGGAAGTCGTGCTGGCCCTGTGCTGGGAGAGCACTGGGACTGCATGTATTCCTGTTGAGGATGGATGTCTGGATGTTGGTGTAGGGTTGCTAAGGGTGGATTTGCAGAGGGAGAGGGGAGAGAAGTGACCCTTTTGTCCCTGATTGCAGCTTTGTGGCCATCACCATGTTCTGGAAGTTTGACCTGAACACCACATCCCATGTTGACAAACTGCTGGACAAGGAGCAGGTGACACTGCGGGAGCTGATGGATGAGGATGACATCCTGCAGGAGTGCAAGGCTCAGAACCAGAAGCTGCTGGACTTCCTGTGTAGACCACAGTGTATGGAGGAGCTGGTGGGCTTGGTCACACAGGACCCACCTCTGGACATGGACGAGAAGGTCCGCTTCAAGTATGTACCGAGGCTGTGACTGGTGCCCAGTGTTCTGGGCAGTGCTGCAGGGAGGCCAGGGCTTTGTGATGGAGAAGCCAGCCTGGACATGTGAAGGCCACTCTCATAGGGTTTGTTATTTGTGATGTTCAAGAGTTTGGAATCTCTACTATATGTGTTTTCTCATTCTGAGTTATAAGTAACTTTATATTAGTGCCCAAGTGTTTTGAGTGACAATATGCTGAAGGAAAAAGACAGGTCCCATGGTAAGAGAGGCAGACAGGACTGCAGTGGCTGTGATACCAATGGGGGTGGTCTGAGGTCTAGCAAAATGGCCAGGCAGGAAAAATGTGCAGTATCTGAAGTCTTGATCCTGAGCCTGAGAGGTGCTTTGCTTTGTTAGGAGGTAACAGCAGGAAAAGGGCAATGTGGCAAGATGGTTGGAGCCACAAGGGCTTTGGGTCAGGACAAAAGAGTATGAATAGGAGGAGCTGGCTCAGCATCTGTCGCTCAAGTGGCTAAGGCGCCAGCCACATACCTAAGGTGGCGGGTTTGAATCCAGCCTGGGCCCACCAAACAACAATGATGGCTGCAACCGAAAAAAAAAAATAGCCAGGCGTTGTGGCGGGCACCTGTGGTCCCAGCTACTTGGGAGGCGGAGGCAGGAGACTCGCTTGAGCCCAGGAGTTGGAGGTTGCTGTGAGCTGTGATGCCACGGCACTCTACCCAGGGGGACAGCTTGAGGCTCTGTCTCAAAAAAAAAAAAAGAAAAGACTAGGAGGAGCTTAAGTGACAGGGAGGACAGAGCAGACTCAGCATGGCCTGCAGTGTCCCTAGGTGGACAGCAAGGGTCAGGTCAGATGCGGCAGCCTTGTGAGCAAGTGTGAAATACTTGTGTGGTTGTGAAGTCTTAGGATGAGGTCATTGGCTGCCACCGAGGGAGCTGGGGAAGGACAGTGGCCCATCAGGTGCGTCTTAGACAATGCAGAGTCGATATCCATGACCCAGGCTAGTGCCATGGTAGCAGTGGCAGGTGGGGCCTCACATGTAGGGGTGGCCTGAGCTTCAGCCTCCCTCTAGTTCCAGAGCCAGCTGGTGGCCATCAGGGAGTAGCAGGAGGTGGAGGCTCCAGTACGTCTCTCTCCTCCCTGATGGTGTGTTCTTTGGAGCCTCTGATCGGAGACGTAGGGGAAAGAACTGCAGACGGAATGATAATCAAAGGGAGGCCGAGACTCGCTCTGGTTGGCGGGCCAGCTAAACTTTACTGATTACTTTATATACTTTCAAACATTCAGTAAGAATTTAATACATATACAAAGAAGTGAAGTAATATTAGGAAGCTATCATTTAAGATTACAATTTAGTGTGAAGGTTGAGGAACACATATACAATTGATTTTGTTTAGAGTAAAAACATAAGAGACTGGCTGTCTGTTCCTTTTAGCCCAAATCCAACTAGGGATTATGATGTTAATGAAGGAGGAAGGCAGAGAATAGAACCCAATGCTCGAAGACTGGTCTGTTCACCCCCAGCTGTGACCTCGGCTGATTCTCCACACCTCCTAGAGAGAGACTTTTCTGCATATTCCTGCATATCTATAGGCAGGTACAGAAGCTCAGAGATGTTTTTCAGAACCAATCTCCTGGAGGAGCACATTGAAGCGAACTGCCATGTCTGAGCAAGGGGAGCTTATCTCCTACACCTCCCCCTCAGCCTGAGCCAGGGGAGGCCAGGCAGCTCTGTGTCTGGACACGGCTGCCCGAGAATGGGAATTCTCTTTACTAGGATATGGACACTGTTCAATCACCATGAGCACACAGTTATCACTGTTAATTTGGATAATGCAGGGAACACTACTATACTTGACCAGTTTTCAGTGAATGAAGTTATATGTACATTCCCTACAATCGGAAGTAATGGAGAGGAGATAGTGAATAATAATACACATTCCTGAATATGGGACATTAGTGACCAAGGGTCTCTTTGTTCTTGGAACATATACTGTACCAATCTGGAGTTGTGTAGTTGTTGTGGACAGTACAGGCAGGGAGAAGGTCTCTATACCTGGAGAAAAACTCTATAAATTCTTAGCACATGAGGGCCTAAGGAAAGCTGAACTGCTGATGTTTACTAGTAAACAAGGTATTAAAGAACACATGACTGTAACAGAAATCTCTCAGTTTTTGTTTGTTTGGTTGGTTGGTTTGGGGGGGGTTTCTTTTTTTTTGCAGAGACAATGTCTCACTTTATCATTCTTGGTGGAGTGCCATGGCATCACACATCTCACAGCAACCTCCAACTCCTGGGCTTAGGTGATTCTCCTGCCTCAGACTCCCGAGTAGCTGGGATTACAGGTGCCTGCCACAATGCCCGGCTATTTTTTTGTTGCAGTTTGGCTGGGGCTGGGTTTGAACCCCCTACCCTCAATATATGGGGCTGGTGCCTTACCCACTGAACCACAGGCACCACCCCTTTTTTGTAGTTTTTGGCCGGGGCTAGGTTTGAACCCGCCACCGCCAGTATATGGGGCCAGCGCCCTACTTCTTAAACCACAGGTACCACCTTATCTCTCAGTTTATTTATTTATTTATTCTGGGGCCAGATTTGAACCTGCCACCTCTGGTATATGGGGCCTGTGCCCTACTCCTTTGAGCCACAGGCACTGCCCCCTATCTCTCAGTTTTTGAAACTAACTTCTATTAAAGATCACCTATGGTATATCCAGCCCTGCTGTGCTCTTAGTGGGAAAGATAGTGCCAGGGACTTTTTTTTTTTTTTTTAGGTTTTTGGCCGGGGGGTCGGTTTGAACCAGCCACCTCCCGCATATGGGGCCAGCGCCCTTACTCCTTTGAGCCACAGGTGCCACCCAGTGCCAGGGACTTTAATGGCGATGTCATGACTTAAGATTTGATGATCTCCACCAACCTAAATGAAGTGCTGGACCTCACCTGGAGCTGCAAAAATTAATGGTTTAGATATATTTATAATAAACTGATGTAAACTTTTTCTATGAGAAGAAAAATTAACACTACTTACTTAGAATAGGGTCAGCAAACCTGATCCCGGTTGTATGGGCTGTGAGCTGAGAATGGTTTTACTTTTTTTTTTTCTTTTGAGGCAGAGTCTCAAGCTGTTGCCCTGGGTAGAGTGCTGTGGCATCACAGCAACCTCAAATTCTTGGGCTTCAATGATTCTCTTGCCTCAGCCTCCCAAGTAGCTGGGACTACAGGCATCTGCCATAATGCCTGGCTATTTTTAAGCTGTAGTTGTCATCATTGTTTGGTGGGCCTGGGTTGGATTCATACCTACCAGCTCTGGTGTATGTGACTGGTGCCCTAGCCACTTGAGCTACAGGCGCTGAGTCTGGTCTTTTTTTTTGGGGGGAGGGGTTAAATTTTATTCAACTTTATTAACAAACTACAGAAAAAACCTGAATGTATAAACAGTAAGAGAATGGGAAGCATGGTTAGTTAAGTAGATACATATTGAAATGATTAGAAAAAATCAAAGAGGGAATAGTGTTTTGTTCATGTGAAAATGGCATATAATTCACATTTCAGTGACTATGAATTAAGTTTTAATGGGCAGAGCCACACATCTACATACAATGCAGATTGAGGAGTTGCAATAGAGACTGTCAAAATGTTTGCTTATCTGGCCCTTTACAGGGGCCCTTTACAGAAAACCTTTGCTGACCTTTGTTTAGAAAATACAGCAGGATGGGGAGGCAGGCATGCCTGTGGGAGTCAGTACTTAATTAGGGTTGTCAGATCTCTGACAAGGGGAGCCATGTTGATTATAAGGGAAGAAAAAGAGTTCTTTTTTATTTTTTTTTTTTTGAGACAGAGCCTCAAGCTGTCCCCCTGGGTAGAGGGCCATGGCATCATAGCTCACAGCAACCTCTAACTACTCCTGGGCTCAAGCAAGTCTCCTGCCTCAGCCTCCCAAGTAGTGGGGACTACAGGCACCCGCCACAACGCCCGGCTATTTTTTGGTTGCATCCCTCATTGTTGTTTGGTGGGCCCGGGCTGGATTTGAACCTGCCAGTTCAGGTGTATGTGGCTGGCACCTTAGCCACTTGAGCCACAGGTGCCGAGCCAGAAAAAGAGTTCTTTATGGGACCAGGCTTGGTGGCTCATGCCTATAATCCCAGCACTTGGGAGGCTGAGGTGGGTGGATTGCCTGAGCTCACAGATTCGAGACCAGCCTGAGCCAGAGTGAGACCCCATCTCTAAAAATAGCTGGGCGTTGTACCAGGCGCCTGTAGTACCAGCTACTCGGAAGTCTGAGGCAAGAGCCTCACTTGAGCCCAGGAGTTTGAGATTGCTGTGAGCTATGCCGCCACGGCACTCTACCAAGGGCGACAAAATGAGACTCTATCTCAAAAAAAAGAAAAAAGAGTTGTTTCCAAGAAATCACAGTTTAGGGTTAGGAGCCCCATGTGGCCTGGGGCTCATCTGGCCAACACATGTTGTCTCAACATTACTATTAATAGCCCCCATCCCTCTCACTCCCAAATATGTCCCAATTTGGTGACAAGTTGGAACAAAGTGGCAGGGTTCAGGGAGGAGAGCTGGGAGGTTTTTGTGGTCAGGATAGGGGATCTCAGAGCTGCATCAGTAAGCCAAGAGAGTTTGGGAGAAATCAGTAGTAGATAAAAACAAAACTAAACAGGCTGGGCACAGTGGCTCATGGCTGTAATCCTAGCACCCTGGGAGGCTGAGGTGAGTGGATAGCTTGAGCTCACAAGTTCGAGACCAGCCTGAGCAAAAGTGAGACGCTGTCTCCACTAAAATAGAAAAACTGAGGAAAGAGTTGGAGGTTGCCGTGAGTTATAAGGCCACAGCACTCTCTCAGGGCAACAGCTTGAGACTCTGTCTCAGAAAAGAAAAAAAATTAAGCAAACAAAGCAACAAGAAGGCTGGAAACCCTGGGCAGAACTCAGGTAAGCAAAGCAACAGGCAGCCAGAGGGGGCAGAGCCACTCGGCTACAGCAGCATTTATATGTCCATGCTAAGGCAGACATAGGATAGCTGCTTAACTGAAAATCATGGTATATTTTTGTAGGAAGGATAAGGAAGAGGAAAGTCAGGTGAAGCTTCACCTTCCATTGTAGGAAGTCAGTCCATAGTGTCTAAAATTGATAAATGAAGGAGAAAGGTGTGTGTATCATTCAGGGAGCTTAACGTCAGGGAGCACTGCTAACAGGATACAGGGGTCACCTTCCAGCAGTGAACTGGGGCAGAGGCCTGTGTCCTTACCAGCTCTGTCAGCAGAGGTCTCAAAAGCACATACTGCTTGTATAAAAACATTAAAGCAGGCCAAACGAGGTGGCACATGCCTCTAATCCTAGCACTCTGGGAGGCCAAGGCAGGTGGATTGCCTGAGCTCATGAGTTCAAGACCAGCCTGAGCCAGAGCCAGAGTAAGACCCTGTCTCTAAAAAAATAGCCAAGTATTGTGGCAGGCGCCTGTAGTCTCAGCTACTTGGAAGGCTGAGGCAATAGAATTGCTTGAGCCCAATAGTTTGAGGTTGCTGTAAGCTATGACACAATAGCACTCTACTGAGGGTGACAAAGTAAGACTCTGTCTCAAAAACCAACAAACAAAAAAACCATTAAAGCACTTTTTTTGAGACTGAGTGCTGTGGTGCTTCTAACAAATTGGTTACAACTTTGGGTTGTACAAATTGGGTCTGAGTGCAGTGGTGCTGGTTTGCAGTGGTTTGGGTTGTTATAAATTGGGTCTGAGTGCAGTGGTGCTTCTAACAAATTGGTTACAACTAGTTACAGATGTCATTGTTCATTCCCCACTCCCACTGTTCTGCTTGACTAGCCTT